AGGCTGAGCTCAAAGTTCTTGTAATCCTCGTGTTTCAGTTTCCCAGAGCATTGGGATTATAGGCATGTGCCACCATACGTGGTTATGCCACAAATTTTCCTGTCTCCCTCTCTGTGGCTTCTGTTATTTAAGAAATCAGTAGCTAGTTGGAGAATGTTTTCACCAGGGGACCCAATCATGGCTTCGTTAACTGGGATGTGAGACAACCTGGGTTCATGTGGCCAGGCAGTGGACTGAAAGAGAAATTACAAGGAGCATATATAGAAAGTACCAAAATCCTCAGCATCTCTTTGTACCAAGACTAGCAGTGAAGTTACCCATAGTTCACTGCTACCCTAAAAGGCCAATCTGCAACTGGCAAGGGTTCAGACCTTTCAGAAATAACAGTTTACAAACTATCTCTATATAACTCCAAAGTCTACGTTCTTTAGCACTCCGCTTTCTAGTAATAGCAATGTACTTGCAACTACTTAACTAAGGAAAGCCCTCTCTTCATTCTAGCTTTCCACCTGTTACTCTGAATGAAATGCCCATTTCAACTTTTCCACAGGGAACTCCTAATAGCTTCTTTAAAACTTTTTCTAGGGGCTGGGGATTTAGCTCAGCGGCATAAGCGCCTGCCTTGCAAGCAGGCAGTCGTGAGTTTGATCCCCGGTACTGATAAAAAGGAAAAAGACAAAAAAAAAAAAAAAAAAAAAAACTTTTTTCTAATGCCTAGAGGTTAGACTAGATAACTTTCTTCATAGTTCTAAGTATCATGACACAGTGTCTTAACATAAAATATTCTATATGCTTATTAAGTTTTTCCCACTAGAACATAAACTTCTAAGTCTGAGAAATCACATTTTTAATATTTGTATCTCAATACTATAATTAGTAATGGTGTAATAAATGCCTTTGGAAAAAATACAGTTTCTCCTAATATTTCAGTATTCATCATTATATTGTAGATTTTAGGTGTCTATGTCTAACAGCATCAAATGAATACTATGTTGAGTCTTTTATTTAACGTATGTGTTCCCAATCCTCCCAATAAGTCTAATGAGTTCTTATGAACCAAGTTCACAACTTACTACTGATGTGTTCTTGTTAGCGCCTAAAGATTGGGTATATTGGAAGTATTCAATGAATACTTGATGAGCTAAATTAAAAACAGTATTCACATATTAATAGGATTAACTTATCATGCCCTACCGATCTAATTAAAAGATCTGGCCTTCCGAAGTAGTGTAATTGTATCTATATGGAAAATTTAATGAGAAAAAGAAAAATTATCTGATTGGATAGTTAACAGCTTTTCTTTCAGCAAGTGTTCTGTGGTGGGTAGGTAGACATGTACTCCAAGCTACTCATGAGGCTGAGGCAGGAGAATTACAAGTTCCAGCCCAGCCCAGGCAATTTAGTATATTAGGAAGACCTGTCTCACAATAAAAAAATAAAAAGAGATGCAAATGTAACTCAATACAAAGGCTATAGGTTTAATCTCCAGTACCACGAAAAATAAAACAAAATAAATAGCTGTTAAGCAAAGTGCAAAGGGTTCAACCCTAAAATAAATAGCTCTTAGGCAGATCACTGCAAAGCCTTGGGTTCAACCCTCAATGCCATACACACAATTATTTTTGTGTAATATATAACACAGCAGTCATTTTACACATTTTACATACACTTACTAAGTATCTGTGAAAACAAATGCAATGTGAGGTCCCAGAAACATAAAAATAAAGAGAACACAGTTCCCATGTTGGTGGGGTTCTAGCTCTGGCACGTTGCAGTGGTATTTAAAAATACAATGTGAACCATACTCTCTCTATATAGGCCCTGTGATCCATAGTCTGGTTGAGAAGGCAGAAAAACAGATACTGATGGCATTGTGGTAAGTGCTAACACAGAAATAAACACAAGTTGTTAAGCAGCTACAGAAAAGAAAATGATGGGACTGGGGATTTAGCTCAGCGGCATAAGCACCTGCCTTGCAAGCAGGCAGTCGTGAGTTTGATCCCTGGTACTGATAAAAAGGAAAAAGACAAAAAAAAAAAAATGATCAACCTACTAAAGAAATAAAAACAGATACGGAAAATGACATTCATACATGAATTCAATCCCCGTTAAGGAAGCTACTAGTACAGAAACAGCAGAAATGGAATCGAACCACAAACCACAGTCGCAAGTGGAATCAAGAAGGTTCTAAACCAGGGCTGGGGATTTAGCTCAGTGGCATAAGCGCCTGCCTTGCAAGCAGGCAGTCGTGAGTTTGATCCCTGGTACCGATAAAAACGAAAAAGACAAAAAAAAAAAAAAAAAAAAAAAAAAAAAGAAGGTTCTAAACCAAAGCAATTCAACTTTAAAGCAAATCTTTGTAGAAGAGCTAAAAAAATAAAACAGTTCTTGCCAGTAAGTTTAAGCATAATGAAACACACATAGAGAGGACAGTAAAACTGCATACTCACTTAGTGCAAAGGTACTCTTTAATATGTAGGGTAAAAGTTCAAAGGAAGCCAATCACTAAGAATGAGAGTAAACTATCTGAAAAGTTTTGTAAAAGTATGATTAAAAAAACTATTAGGCAGGATGTAGCAGTACACACCTGTAATCCTAGCACTCAGGAGGCTGAGGCAAGAGGATCCCCACAAGTTTGAGTCTAGTTTGGGCTACGCAGTAGTGGGTTCAAGACCAGCCTAAACTATGTAACGAGACTCTATCTCAAGAAAACAAAACAAAAAGGGGGGGAGGACAATTATGATTGTTGGTAAGTAGGGAAAAGGTCCATACTCTAAAAAATGCTTGTTATGTATTGTTGTTAACAAAAGCAGTGTTGGGATCTAAACTTCATGTCTGTGGGATGGAAGTGAGTCCAAAGATTCGCACTAGGAAAGCAGTGGAAGAAAGCACCATATTAAGGACTGTTTGCCTAGAACACAAACCTGATCTAGACTTACAGTTTTCAGTCCTAGCTGCGAGGATCACTGAGAGAATTTTAAAGACTATGCCAGGTCCCGGGATTTAGCTCAGAGGTGCCTGGCAGGCACAAGATTGTGAGTTTCATCGCTGACACACACACACACAAAAAAAAAAAAAGGAAAGAAAAAAAATACATATGCCTAGTCAGGCTCGGTGGCACACAACAGCATTTGGGAGGCTGAGACAAGAGGATCCAAGTGCAAGGGCCCTTGGGCAATTTAGTGAGACTCAAGTCTTAAAAGGGTTGCACTAGGGTGGGGTGGGGATGTAGTTTAATGGTATAAAGCCCCTGGGTTCAATCCCCAGGACTAAACCCAGGGGTTTAGCTCAGCGGAGTTAAGTGCCTGTTTGGCAAACGCAAGGTCTTGAGTTCCATTCCTGGTACCAAAAAAAAAAAAGACAAAGAAAGAAACAATCCCCCAGGACTGTTAAAAATAGAGGCATTCTAACAAGTAGCCCACTTTGAAAACCACTGGGTGGGGACAAGCTCAGGTGAGATACTGTAACTTCCTAGCTTGATTTAAGACCCCAGCAACAATGTGGAGCTGATTACCTGTTGAAGATTATCTTCTAAACTGACTGAGTCTCATTTTTCTTCCTGTTTCTTTTTCCTTGTCGACACCCTACTCTGAAAACAGGAAAATAACCCATTCATTTCTCATACATGATGGACTCCCTGACTGCACTATCTGCAACTTGAGAATTTAGAATCCTCTGTGATGTTCCACAGACAGCTAACCTAGAAAACATCTATTTCAATCCTAAACTGCCTTTATATCCCTGCAATGCAGTGCTTTCGCACTGGTGAATATTCTAGGCTGCATCCAAAACTTCTCTTAAATACCAGGACTACCTAATACCAATGTAAATGCAAAAGACACACTGCTAAGTCTAGAGAAAAATGTGATATTATTCATTTCTTGTAGTACTTGGAAATAATTCTCCTCTTGGTTTTCGAAGTGTATAAAGCACACTGTACTTTATTTTGTAACAAATACTTTCAATAAAGGGGGATATGTATATACGATATAGCAACTCTGTACTACATTAAACATAAGGGCTGTGGAGAAAGTCATCAAGGTGATTAACACTATAACAGTCTGTTGAACCTTCAAAAAGCAGGTCTGCTCACTTAAAGCCAATACTTTAGGATCCATTATTAACCAGAAGGTTAACTCAAGAAATATGTACACTGTTCAAAAGTAAGCAACCATCATGACCTGTGAAGTTAGCCACAAGTGTCTTGTTTTGTGTGGTGTTAACTCACTGTATTTTACTTAGCAGTTAAATGCTACTCAAAGATTACGACTTCGCACTTAGGTTTATGCATGCTCTTAGAAAGTTAATACACTCAAAAACCCAAATTCCGATGTTAAGAAGTGGGTTAGAAGAAAGCTGACGAGAACTCAATATTCAAAATGTGAAACCTGAACAAAAGCCCAGAAACCTCCAGTTTCTTAGGGAAAAATGGAAATAGATTTTCAAGAGTTGGCTATTCGCTTGCACTTCTCCTATTTAGAGAGCAAAAGAGGCTTCCAAAAAAGAAAACACACAATCTAACTCTCCGACCCATAAGCGAAAGCTAAAAACGCGAGCAGCAGGAGTTTGACAAGGAGATCCAAAGGGAAGTCAGAAAGCTACGAAAAAAAGATGAAGAGGAGAGAAAAGGTGCAGGAGGCCAAAAAAGCCTGTGTCGTGCACCCGGCTGCCCAGCTCTTTATGCACCCAAAACGGCGCGGGGCCTCTGTCGCCCCGCGTTCATCTGGGATCGGAGTTCAGGGCTAGCCCCCCACGGCCGAAGGCAGGAAGCTCGGGGAGACAGAGGGAAGGCAGCTCCACGTCCAGCCAGCGCTCACACCGGGCCGGGCTACGCACACAGGGGTGCCCGGTAGGAAGGAGGCACCTCGCCTCAGCCCCCGCCTCCGAGCGCGAGAGGGGGTGGGTGGAGCTGAGCCCGGGGCCGCCCCCGGAGCCGCCCCCGCAGCCCCGGCCCCCGCCCCCCGCCTGGCTGTCAGCGGCCCCCTCCCGCACTCACTCACCCGCCGGCTGCGCGGTCTCGGCCGCGCTGGTGGCGGCGGCGGCGGCGGCGGCGACCCCCGCCTGGGTCATGATCCCAGGCAGGGCAAGCAGGGGTGTCTGACTGCCCCGGCGAATCTCTCCGTCCGCGGCCGCCGCCTGCTCCTCCGGGGCTGGGGGAGCGCGGGCCCAGGCCCCCCTCTCCCCCCGCCCCCGCTGCCTCTTCCTGCGGCCGCCGCCGCCGTTGCGAGCCGGAGCCTTCAAGGCCGGAGACCCGGCGGCAGCACTGCCTCAACTTTCCCAACCCCCCTCCCCCCGCCCCTCCCCTCCCGCGGTCGCCGCTTAGCACGCCGACAGCCTACCCTGAGTGCGTCGCGCGCCCGCCCCTGCTGCTCCACCGGCCAATCCGACGCTAAGGAGACTGCCATTCTAGCCAGTCAGAAGCCAGAACGCCATTGCGCCAGACTGGAGGGCGGGAAGAGAAGGAGGGAAAGCCGAGGAGTGAAAGGGCCTTAGGCGGCCCAATGAGGAGGACTAGGGGGCGGAGGTGTACACGGTTGGGTTGAAGGAACAGGAAATATTCTTAAAGGTAGAGTGACGGGCAGGAAGGAAAGCCAGTAGGTGAATTGGAAAGAGGTGGGCCTGGTTCCTTAAAGGGGAAGTCTTGAGAATCTAGGAAAGATGTTTTAAGAAACTTCTTGGTATCTTGCTGTCCACCGCTTTTCCCGTCTTGCAGTGGAAGTCTGGATGTGCAAAAAGTGAAAAGAGGTTCTTTAGGAATGATTAGGGAGCTCCTCTTAGCCAGAGGGCAGGAACTCAGGAGGATGCCTGCCAAGAAGAGGAAGAAAAGAAAAAGAATCCACACATCTCCGACTTTTCTTGCAGTGAAAGAATGTGAGTCGACCTGAAGCTGGTCGAATTCGTAGGCTGCAGTCTCCTGGTGTTCTTTAATTGCTTGGATTTCTGCAAACTGGAGAGAGCTGTGTTCAGAGATGGCCTGGGAGCCTCCCAGCAAGGAGAGGGGAGTGTGGGGCACTGCTGGATGGAATTTGGAACACCGAGCTTACTAGACCCATGGCCTGGGAGGTGTGGGGCCCTAAATTGTGGAATGGGGGGGGGGGGTGCGGGTCCAATTTAGAGGTGGGTTTGGAGCCCTACAACCAGCTAAATTAGATAAAAATAAACATACAATCAGAGGGACTGGGTTCTCAATTCTGCAGAAACAGACGTCAGAATTGTAGCGGGAGGGGCGTCTAAAGAAGGCCATGCCCACATGCGTCCTGAGGGCCAAACAATAATTTGAGATTATATCGTACTTAGCATCACCAAGTTCCTTTAGTTCAGCTGTGCATCAGACCCATACTAGTAATGCTTATGACACACAATGAAATTGTATAATATTAATATAACTGGCTGTAAGAAATAATCTCCATGGTAGTAAGAATATAAAAGTTTTTGCTTAACAAATATCACATCTAGAGTGAGCATGATTTCCTAAACTACAATCCATCAATTCCAAAGTAAAACCATACAATTAGTGTTGATTTAATAAACAGAATTTAAGGGGATTTTTGTTTGTTTTTAATCACCATTAAAAAATACACAAGAGGAAAAAAAATACACAATAGGAACCAGGGATTATAGCTGAGTGGCACCTGCCTGCTTAGCAAGCACAAAGTGCTAAATTCAATTCCCAGTACCAAAAAAAAAAATAAATAAATAAACAACACAATAATACCACTCTGGAGTGGAAAATAAAACCAATTTCTTGTTTGTTTTGTTTTATGAGAGAAGGTCTCACTATGTAGTTCAGGCTAGCTTAAATTCACTATGGAGCTCAGGCTGGCCTCTGAACTCACAGCACTTCTGTGTCAGCCTCCCGAGTGCATGCGTCATCAAGCCCAGCTAAGAGCAATTTCTGTTTGACAAAATTTAGGATATTAACGTGTGTGTGTGTGTGTGTGTGTGTTTTACTGGGAGTGAACCCAGTGCCTTTCCTCTGAGATATCCCTGATTTTTTAAATTTTGATTTTTTTTCTTTCTATTTTTAAGGCAGAGTGTCCCTAAGTCACTAAATTGTGCAGGGTGTGAACTTTTGATTCTCCTGCCTCAGCTTCCCTAAGTGCTGGGATTACAGGTGTGCACCCAGCACTGGATTTCAATTTTCATCCTTATTTCCTAACCAAAATTTAAACCTTGCTGGGAATGTAGCTCAGTGATACAAGCACCTGCGTGGCAAGTGTGAGGTCGTGAGCTTGATCCCAGGTAACAAGAAAAGAAAAAAAAAATTTTTTTTAAATCTTTTTTCCTAACTGAAGTCTAAATCCCAACCAGAGATCTTTACCCATTCAGCATTGGTTTACTGCACTAGATATGAAATGAGGGACACTGGATAACCACATGGTTCTATATTCAGACCAGGTGATATTTGCTTACAGCACTTCTAGTGATAAAATACACTGTCCAAGCAAAATTGCTCTGTCTTCAGGTCAATTCCCTTTTTTATATGGGCAGGAGAAATCTGCTTTTCACCTACACACTTCACATCCTTCAATAGCACCCAAAGATTATCTGTATGATTTACAATCAGTTGCTGGCCTCCCGTTTCAATCCCTTTTTTACAAGACGGTGAGGAACTAGAAGGTCCCTCCACATCTCCGCTGACCGACGGGGCGGGGCCAAGGGCCAGGAAGATGGAAGGGGGGCGGGGTGGGGCCAGATCTGGGCTCGGCCCAACCCCACCCCAGCTAAGCAGGTTTGGGCTGAGCTTGCGCCTTCCTGTAGACCTGAGAGCGGAACCCAGCGCCCAGCCATCCGTGGTGGTGCGTTAATGTCTCTTTCCAACATCTCCCCGCCATCCTGGGTGCATGAAGAGCTGGCCAGCGGGGTTCACACCAGAGGCATTTTCTGTCTCCTCATCTGCTTTCTTGCCCCCTGACTTTCCTTCGGACCCCCTAACTGTGGCTTGTGGTTTTGATTTGGTTTGGTTTGGCATTTTGGAGACAGGGTCTTGCTGCGTAGTCCAGGGTGACCTTGAAGTAGCTGTGCATCCGAGAATAATCGCGAACTCCTGGCAGCCTTCCTGCCTCAGCTTCCTTGAGATGACATGTTTGTAACTCTCTCTTTAGTGCCAGAGTTGGGCTATATGTTCTTTTTAGAAGCTTAACTTTGGTTTCCAAATTGGGGAAGTGGGAACAAGCAAATGGCCAATTGTTACAATCTATTTCCATATTTCTCAAACTACCTATCACCGTGGTTCTAACATTTATTCCTATTTCCAGCGGCAACGTATGAGGGCTCCTATTTTGAGGGAGGTTCTTCCGTAGGTGACCAGGCTAGCCTTGAATTTAGGATCCTCTGGACTCCTCCTGCCCAGCAATTGGGGTTACAATATGATCCACTGTGCCTGCCTTGCTTTTTCATTTTCTTAACTGTTTTTTTGGTCTTACTTTTGGGGTTTTGTTATTGAGGCAGGATCTTGCTGTATCTTGACTGTTTTTGAAACAAAATAGCTTTATTGAAGTGTGATTGATCCATAATAAATTAAGCATTTAAAATATATAAGCACATTAAAAAATTCCAATAGAGTGGAAAAAAAAACCTCACGAATTGGGAAAAAAATCTTAGCCAATTGTCCCTCAAAGGACTTCTATCTAGAACATATAAAGAATTTAAAAAGATCAGACCCCCAAAATTGAAAGACTCCATCCAAAACTGGGCATCTGAGATGAATACACATTTCTCAGATGAAGAAATATGTGTTAAATAAATACATGAAAAAATATTCATCATCATTGGTTATTAGAGAAATGCAAATTAAAACAGCACTGAGATTCCATCTCACTCCAGAAAGAATGGCCAGGATCAAGAAACCAACCAATAACAAATGCTGGAAGGCCTATGAGGGGAAAAAAAGAACTCTTAACTGTTGGTAAGAATGTAGAATGGTGCAACCACTATAGAAATCAGTGTGGAGGGGCTGGGGATTTAGCTCAGCGGCATAAGCGCCTGCCTTGCAAGCAGGCAGTCGTGAGTTCGATCCCCGGTACCGATAAAAAGGAAAAGGACAAAAAAAAAAAAAAAAAAAAGAAATCAGTGTGGAGATTCCTCAAAAAGCTAGGATTAAGGCCGGGTGTGGTGGCACACTCCTGTAATTCCAGCACCTGGGAGGCTGAGGTAAGTGGATTGTTGCAAATTCGAGAACAGCCTGGGCTACAAAGTGAGCCCAAAGCCAACCTGAACTGCATAGCGAAACCCTTGTCTCAAAAAAAAAAAAAAAAAAAAAAGAAGAGCTAGGAGCTAGGATTAGAGGCTGAGTTTGACCCAGGTATCCCACTTCAGGGCATTTTCCGAGAATTGAAAACCTCATACCACACTGATACATGTACACCCATGTTTATAACAGCACAATTTGTAATAGCCAAATCTGGGAAACAACCCAAACGCCCATCAACTGAAGAATGGATAATGGAATACTACTCAGCTATAATGAAAGACCCACTTGAGCCTTTTATAGGTAAATAAATGTGACTTGAGACTATACTCATAACTGAAATAAATCAGACTCACATGTGTAAATACTGTATTGTCTCCCGAGTATAAGAAACCGGAAGAATAAATAAGATCCAAAATCTACAATACATATTGTGAAAAGGTAAGATACTGCTCAAAGGGGAAAAATAACTGGGATAAGGGAAAGGAGAAAAGAAGGAAGGGAAAAGACATAAATTTGTTTATATATACATAAAATAGCTAAGATGATTTACTACTAGGTCATGGAAAAGAACAGTTAATACTCATACAATTAAATCAATTTTGCATTCTATATCTGGTAATCTAAGCAACTCTTTTAAAGATAACAATATGTAATATTACAACTATTGTTAAATTCCTATCATCTTGTTTTGAAAGCCTGTATTTTTGTTGTTTTGGGTTTTTTGTTGTTCTTGTAGTTGTTGTTTGTATGTCTGTTTTGTTTGTTTTGTTGATTGGTTGGGTTGTTTTTTCTTTTTGCTTTTTTTGAAACAGGATCTCTATGCAGTTCACACTGGCCTTGGGCCCACTTAGTAGCCCAGGCTGGTCTCAAATTTGCAATGATTTTCCTGCCTCGGACTCCTGAGTGCTGAGATTATAGGCATGTACCACCATGCCAGCTATTTTTTGGGTTTTTTTTTCTCTCCCTCTTTAAAAGAAAGAAATGTATACAACATAAATTTTGACATATTCTGTGAATTCATCTGTACATCAAAAAATGAACAGATTTCCATCAACTTTGTTTCATTCCCATAATCAGTTCCTTTTTTTTTTTCCT